CACCACGCGCATGCCACCCCCACCGAACTGCCGCCTGCCCTTCCCCCGCCCCGTCCCGGGCCAGCTGAGCACGGGGCCGGGGGCGCAGACCGCGACTACAGCTCCGCGGAGGGCACCCACCGGTCTGTGCGCGCCCAGCCCCCGCCTCCGGCGCTGCCGCCGCGTAGCCGTTCCAGGCAGTGTCCACGCCGCGCCGCCCCGCGCTCTGCTCGCTCGGGAAGCTGCAGGCGCACGTGTCCCCCGAGGCGGGGCGAGGCAGACAATGGGGCCGCGGGAGAGGGGTTTGGCGCGGAGACCTGCGGACCCCTGGTCGGCCTGGCCAGCGGGGCTCGGGTGTGGGGGTCGCCCCGGGAAGACCCGGTCTCCCTAGCTGGACCATGGGGTCGCCGGGGACCTCATGCCCGCGCGCCTTCGCTTTCACGAGAACCTGGGGCAGAGGGAGGGGCGCCCGAGGCTCGGACACCGAAAACTCGGCTGCTTTTGAGGGAGACCGGGCTAGCTCCAGTGAAGCGAAGAGCGGCTCCCGTCTTGGGGATGACACGAAGGCCAGATTTGGAAGCGAAACCACGCGGTGGTGAAGGGTTGTGCAATCCGCCTCTTCAGTCCCTGGCGTTTTAAGCAGTTCAGGGCTTTCTCATAGCACAGTTTGAGCAACTTGATGCAGCACAAGCTGCGTGGTTAGCGCAACTGTGAGGAAAATACCTGCTTTCTTTTTTAATAACTTGTCAACTGAGTTATGTGAAGTGACATTTCTTTTGTATTCGTTTACTAGGTACAAGGGAGACAAAGGCATTTGGATTTCAGACGCGATATGGATACTAATTTTACCCAATGCAACTGTAATGAAAATAGTAGTGTCCTTTTGATTAAAAATCAAGTTTATTTTAAAGACCTCACTGGTTCCCCAAATGAGACATGTGCTGTAACGACAACAACCAGTGGCTTGAGGAAAAGTTAAAAGAGCATTTTTCGAAGTGCTTAAGCACGTAAACTGCCAGATGGTTTTCATAGGAACCTGGAGCAAAATATGAATTACTTCTTGACCAAAGTACTGTCTACCCAGCCTGTTTAGCAAAAATCAGAGATCTCCACTGTCTGAAATCCCTTAATATCAAACACGTACCTGTTACAGTACTCATCTGTTAAAGCAATAAGGATTTTGGTTCACAATTCAAATATCCTGGATAATGGTATACGTGAAATGTTAATATAAAAACAGTATAATCCTATGAATTAAGCAAGGACCTTGGTAGGTTAAGCGTTCTACTGCTAACGGAAAGGTTGGAAGTTTTCCACCTAGCAACTCTGTTTAAACCTTGGTGGCATAGTGGTTAATTGTTACCGCTGCTAACCAAAAGGTGGGCAGTTTGAATCCACCAGGTGTTCCTTGGAAACTCAATGGGCCAGTTCTACTCTGTCCTATAGTGTTGTGATGAGTCAGAATCAACCATGGTTATGGGTTTTTGTGGTTTTTTTTTTTTAGCAACTCTGCAAGAGAAAGACCTGTCGATCTTCTGTTAGGATTGGAATTGCCAGCCTTCGTAGCTTACTTAAACCCCGTGCCAGGAGCACTCCCAGTAAAGATTACAGCTAAGAAAATCCTATGGGGCAGTTCTACTCTGTTGACTATAGGCACACAACAAAGTGGATTAAGCAAAGAATGAAAATAGTATATCTGAACCCTAACACCCATACCCATTGCTGTCCAGTCAATTCCAGCTCATAGCAACCCTATAGCACAGGGTAGAACTGCCCCATAGGGTTTCCAAGGAGCAGCTGGTGGATTTCAACTGCCAACCTTTTGGTTAGCAACCAAGCTCTTAACCACTGTGCCACCAAGGCTCTGAACCATACAAGACTTTTTATTTAGACCTTCCTGGTGATCAAAGTTGTTCCTAAAATGCCTCTAGCTAGGAAATGTTGTCTCCCGGATGACCAAAGACTCCCCAAATGAAAATCTCCAGCTCTTCTTTGACCTCTAATTCCTTTGTCTAACTTTTCGAAAACCAAGCATATGCTCTTTCCCCTTATCTGCCATCGGCGGAGTTCCCATCTCAGTATCACCTATATCCATCCTGCTTCATTAGATGAAAACCTCAAAGTCATCCAGAACACTTCCTTCTCTCCACTGCCACCTGAGTTAAGTTCTGTCTCCCAAATATATCTCCACTTCTGTGTTAGGGGGATTTTGGGAAGGAGATGGGGCAGTCTGCTTCCGTAAAGTTTACAGCTTCAGAAACCCTATGGGGGCAGTTCTACTCTGTCCTGCAGGGTTGCCATGAGTCGGAATCTACTTGACATCAATGGGTGGGTTTGGGCCCTGCTGGTGCAGTGGTTAAGCATTTGGCTGCTAACCAAAGGTTGGCAGTTTGAATCCACTGGCCGCTCATTGGAAATCCTATGGGACAGTTCTACACTGTCCTGTACGGTCACTAGGAGTTGGAAGCAACAGCAACGGGTTTGGTTTTTTAGTTTATGTTGGTACTACCCGAGCAAAACCACCATCATCTTACACCTGAACTAAGGAAATAGCCTTCTGATTCACCACTCTTGCGGCTCTCCTAATCCATTCAAAGCCCAAGTCCCTGTGGAACATCTGCTTAAAACTCTTCATTAGCTTCCCGTTACACTTAGAACAGAGTCCTTGACTGGTGCAAACAGTTAATGTTCTTGGCTACTAACCAGAAAAGCTGGAGGTCCGAGTCCACCCTCAAGTGCCTTGGAAGAAAGGCCTGGGATCTACTTTTAAAAAATCTACCACTGAAAACCCTGTGGAATACAGTTCAACTCTGACTCACATGAGGTCACCATGAGTCAGAGTCAACTTGATGGCAATGGGGTTTTTTGTTTGTTTGTTTGTTTGTTTTGGTACACTTAGAACAAAAGCCAAAATCCTTAGCTAGATCAACAAGATCTGTCCCACCTGACTCTCCAGCCTCATTTCTCATTCTCCCAGCTTCTGCTGAACTTCTCTCAATTCTGGCATTTTTCAGGTTTATGTACACTGAGGACCTAGACAGAGAAGTGACAGATGCTCTGAGCAGAACTGAGTAAAAAGCAGCCATCCATACTCACTGTTTGACAATTTTTGGACAAAACAATAGTATAATTTTCCTCCTGACCTACAGAAGTTTCTTAATCCAGGCTTGACTCCAAGAATTACTACTATTACTAGAACATAGAGAATCTCCGATAATACTTAGACAAACAAACAAACCTAGTAGATTGATTAGTTACCTTGGCATGACAAATTGAAAGAAAAAAAAACCAGTTGCTATCAAATCAGTACAAACTCATGGTGGCGCCATGTGTGTCAGAGTAGAACTGTGCTGCACAGGGTTTTCAATGGCTGTGATCTTTCAGAAATATATCACCAGGGATTTCTTCTGAGGCAGCTCCAGGAAGATTCAAACCACTTAACCATTTGCAACACCCAGGGACGCCTGGTATAGAGGATACACTGGCTTAAATTGAAATATATATGAAAACAGTTGGCATGGTGTCTGGCACAAGAAAGCACTCTATAAACACTTATCCTTACTTTCCTGAATCCTCGTTAGCACTCAGCACAGGATTTGATGCATAGTAAATATTTGCTAAATTAAACCCAAGGGTAACAGGCTAAGACCCAGACAATCTAGCTTCTAATGCCAGATCTGCTACTAATGAGTAATGTGGGCTTGGACAAAACATTTCACTTCTCCGAATCTCTATTTCTTCATCTCTAAAAGAAGTGCATTGAACAGATTACTTTTTATTTTCCATGTGTATAGCTTTGTATGTGTGTTAAAAATATGTATCTATCTATATATATCAAAACATTTGCCATTTCATTATTTTTTTATTGTTGTGCTTTAAGTGAAAGTTTACAATTCAAGTTAGCCTCTCATACAAAAATTTATGCATACATTGTTATGTGACCCTAATTGCTCTCCCTATACTGTGACAACACACTCCTTTCCACCCTGGATTTCCCATGTCCATTCAACCGGCTCCTGACCCTCTCTGCCTTCTCGTCTAGCCTCTGGACAGGAGCTGCCCATTTAGTCTCATGTCCATTTCAATATTTTTACATGTACAATTCAGTGACATTAATTATCTTCATCATGTTGTACAGTCATTTCCACTGTTTCCAATTTTTTCACTACCCTTAATAGAAGTTCAGTGCCCCCTAAGCAATGACTCCCCTTTCTCCATCCCTCCCATACCTGGTAACCACTAATAAACTTTGGTCTCTGTGTATTTGTCTATTCTAGATATTTCATAGAAGTGTGATCACACAATGTTTGTCCCTTTGTTACTAACTTATTACACTCTGCATAATGTTTTCAAGGTTCATCCAAGTTGTAGCATGTATCAGGACTTCATTTCTCTTTATGGCTGAGTAATATTCTATTGTATGTTGTGATGGTTAAGGTTCTGTGTCAACTTGGCTGGGCCATGATTCTCAATGGTTTGGCATTTATGATGTGATTTGGCAGCTATGTAATGATGTAATCACCTCCATAATGAGATCTGATATAATATAATCACCTCCATGATGAGATCTGTTATGAGTAGCCGATCAGTTGAAACGGTATTTCCTTGGGGGTGTGGCCTGCACTCAATATAGGTGGAATTTCT